ACTAATAGTGTGGGTTACAGCTTATTGCAGAGATATGGCTGAGCAACATCCCACTGACTCTCTCACTTTACACATATAGCATAGTGTAAAAAGGTGCCTTCTCCTATTGCTGTTTTTTGTATATTTTTACTTCCAGATGATTCTAATCTACCTGCTCACCTGCAGAAGGTCATTGCATTTTCTTCTTTAGTAGCTAGACATTCAGTTCTGTTTAAACAGAGATATGTAATCCCTCCATAACACAACCAATGGATTTAAGATCTGATGCAGAACATCAAGACAGTCAAAAGGTTACCTGGTCTGTTTTTTTTATTTTCTGTAAGCTTTCTGCTTCAGTTGTTGATGTTGTCAGTTATTTGAAGGATCTTTGTTTTTGTCCAGTATTCCATATATTTCACAAATTTGTAGCTTGAGGGGATAGCAAACTGAGACACATCTTTAATGGTGCAGGAAAGTGAAGAATAATTCAGCCAAATGTGGATAGGGCTGGGTATCCTACATCAATACTTTTTTGGTACCAAACAAAATGCGTCAAGTATTGAACTGTCCAGTTATGATAGCCAAAAAGCATAAAACATTGAATAGAAATATCTAAAGGTGGCATTAGAAATCAATAATATTATCAATTATATTATTATTCCAACATTTTTCCAAATGCATGTCTTAAGTCTAGTACAAAATCTGAACACAACAGATCTTTGTCCATTTTTTAACATGTTATTTTTAGACAAACTAAATAAACAGGGGTGGGTGTGGCTCAGGAGGTAGAGTGGGTTGTGTCCTTGAGCAAGATACTGAACCCCAAATTACTTCTGATGCTGTGCATCGGTGTGTGAATGTGTGTGAATGAGTTAGTTTCCGTTTGTGATGGCCTTTGTCATCACTGTATGAATGTGAGTGTGGCATGTAGTGTACAGCACTTGGAGTGGTTAGAAGACTAGAAAGGCGCTATATAAGTACAGTCCATTTACCATTTAACGCTTCAGTTTGTTGCTACCATTGTTAGCTATCTATTGTTTTCACGTCTTTTGTCGTTGATAGACATAAACAGTTAACTCATCAGAGATCCTACCAACACAGAAAAACAAAATTACAAACATTTTCTTCTTGTTTTTTACTTATGAATCGGATTAAGGAAAACATTTGAAAACCTCAACGCCACTGCTTGTGGCACCCTCTCTGTGGTGCAGTACACCTGTTTTCTTTGAATCAGCACTGCCCTCTGTTGGAGAAAGTGTAAATTGAGCCATTCTGGTCATGGCTTATTTTGAGAGGATTACACTGACCTTACTAATGGATACAACATATCACTGTCTGTGTTTATAGAACAAGTTAAATAAAAGTGTTTATGGTCCACATGGTTATGGTCATAAAGGTTTTGTTCTATTACAATTTGATACAAATATATGTTTTGATTTATCGATTTTCAAAAAAGCCCTCTTTTGCAGCATGATATCATCCTGTTAAAGTTTGTTTCAGCCAACAAGCAGTTGAGGCCAGCTCTGACACAAACAGTATCATCAACATTACAAGGCAGCCACGCTTCTCAAATGTCAGCAAGTCAGCCCATGCTGTAGCAGTCTGCTGTGTGAGGCTCATTTCATCAGCTGGACTGCAGAGCCTGTAACCAAGTAAACAAATCTTCACAAACAGCTTGGTAGCATTTCAGAAAGAGTATTTCATGCCTCCAGTGCATTGTAATAAGATATTACTGTACAGAGACTGTGACTATTAGATCATTTTTACGACTGTAGATAAATTTAGGTCAAGTTGTTCTTTTAACCTTTTATACTCTCACAACTAATTGGCTTATTTAAAATTGCAATATTTCTCCAGTAATATAACTTTTGCTCCATTGATTTTGTGATTCAATCAGACTGAAGTGTGGTCGGCATAGGATGCCTGAGTTTGCATGTCAGCTGCGTTGCTGAACTGCAGCTGCTTGCACGCCTGTCTTAATATGGGCACCAACAAAATAAAAAGCAAAACATTCTGCCACACACTGAAGAGAGGCAGTGTGGACGAGGCTTGAGGAGAAATGACACAAAGTTGAAGTTATTTCAAAATCCTAAAAGAGTCAGGGCTTTTAAGAAAACATTCGGGGCTGGAGCCCCAGAGGCCACCCCTTTGCTTTTCACCTGGTCCTGGGGATCCATTATCAGTATGATAATGTTCTTGTGTTGGTGTCATTGTTTAACTGAACAGTAATTACCAACTGCCCTACCTTATTTCTAAGTTGTTAATATGTCATAATCAATCAATAAAGTCACTTCCTTCTTATTATTTGATTTTCCCATCTTGATCTGCACCGTCTTCTGATTACTCCTTTCTGCTCTCTTTCTTCTCTTGGCATTTAATTCTCTTCTTCCACCTCTGTCCTCTGCACTCTTTACCTTTTCACTGCGTCCATGCTGTAAGAGTGTCACTGTGGTAGTGTATTGGTCATGTTTTGTCTTTCCGGCTCCATGTATTATATTTCTGTTCATTTCATTTTCTGTAAAGATTTTTGGATCCCCTCTGCTGTGCTCGAGAAAATCTTGTTTGAAAAGATAATCAGTGCCATCTAGTGATGGAAGTTGTAAAGACAAAACAGATGTCAAAGTGCCATAGCACACACAGGCAGTAACATCACCTTCCCTCAGAGGAGATCAATTTACAAATCTAAAATCTTACCAACAATAAGCTTTTAAAGTCTGGGTCTCGGGCTGCATTTTGATGAATGGTGATGTTTGCTCTCCATTACACTTTAACCCGCTTGTATATAAATGCAAGGTCGAGCAGCGGAAGCAAAGGCCAGAATGTGATAAGAGCGGAAAGAAGTCTGTCATTTTAGTGTGGAATGACCCAATCTCACAGCTCTGCTTGGATTCAGACCAATGCTTAGACTTTACCCTATCCACAAATAAAAAATGTGCAATTTCACACTAAGTACATCTGAAAGCACTTTATGTAACATAATTTTGCAACATGATCATCAGTATGAAACACATGCAGTATATAGGCATGAGGTTTACTGCCAGACAACCCAAAACAATATTACTCTCGGTTCTTACTTTTACTACTACTACTACTACTACTACCACTAACTCTATTAATACTACTGCTGCTGCCAGAGGTAGCAAAAGTAGTTCAAGTAGAAGTACAGATGCTTGTGTAAAAAAGAAAAGTAGAAATAGAAGTCCTGATTGTTTACTCAAGTAAAAGTGAAAAAGAACAGGCACTGAAATGTACTCAAAGTATAAAAGTAAAAAGTACTCACTGATTTCTCTCTAGTTTCTCTGAAGGACTTTTCTAACAGCTGTTTCTGTACAAAGATAACTGAAACTTCAAACAGCGCTAAGTGTCCCTTTCTTGTCATCCTTGATAATGAAGATAATTCCCCTCAAATACATAAAAATAAAGGGAAACGTGTTCTAAAAATGTAAGGAATAAAAAGTACATATATTTGTGTAAAAATGTAGGGGGTAAAAGTAAAAGTAAATACTAGTAATACAGATATCTGTACTTCCCACCTGTGGCTACTATAACTATGCTGTAGTCAGACTGATACTGAAGTAAAATTACATGTAACACATGTTTAGTAAAAGACCTTCAGTGAAAATGTTACTGAAGTAAAAGTAAGTAAATATTAATGTGAAAAATGTGAAAAGTATTTCAAGGTATAAGGAAGCTTTATGTATCATTTTACCTTTATGCTATACTCACAAAAGCAAATGTTATATACAAAAAATATTGTAGGCCCCTCCAGTAAACGATCAGTGTTTCTTCTTCTTGTTCCTACAGTGTGATGTTTGAATGCTGTATGTGTAGAGTTTGGCTCTAGAAGGATGTTTTCACATTCATCTGCTGAAAATGGAACGTTTTTCTGTGCTCATTGAAAATCTGCAACTTGTACAGTGTGATGTAGAAACTTGAAGCCACCAGTGCACATTCACTGAAAATGGACTTTACAGTGAGGTAGGAGACATTTTGTGTCCAGCAGCAAAACTTTAGAAATGAACATTTGCATATTCACAGATTCTGCAATGTTAAATGAGGTGGAAGGATTTTAATGTGGAAATTATACTTTTGTTTGCATAAAAAACATCAGACACATATATATATATTTGTATAAATGTCTTATTACATGTCTGGAGGGGTTCTTTGACAATACATGGGTGAATAAATAATAGGTCATATTATTATACTAATGCATTAATGTGTGAGCTGTTTAACTATCGTAGCTAGGTTGAGGTAGAGCTGATGTGCAACATATTTTATGAGCTCATCATGTTTTGTATGTAAAATACATAATATTTTCTTGTGAAAATATCGTTCCTGCTCTTTGATTGATGGATGACCTATGAAGGTCTTGGCCTATTGACTATACGTGCTGTGTGTAGGTATTGGTATCCCAGAGAGTTCACTCCATGGAGGTGTCCTTGAGGCCACTGTTCTATGGAGCCCTCTGGAGCAGCAATGGCAGCTCCCAGACAAGTCATGTCCCAAACAGAGAGTTTATGCCAAACTCCATTCCAAAAATGTATAGGTTGTTAATGTGTAGGTTTCATCACTTATTCACCAAAAAAGCAACAACTATACATGGTTATGACCTTGATTAAACCATTAGTGTCTTCTGGTACATTTGGGATGCAAATGATTTACTAAGTATTAAAATTCTAATCATTTAGGTTTTTGAATTTGAAATTGGTGTAGACTACTTTTAAGAGAAACAATGCCAATTTGCTGCCACTTTAGAAAAAGCCATGAGTTTGATGAAGTGAATGTTATTCAACACCATTGCAAGAGTTTTGAATGAAGTTCATCACAAGTTCGTACATACACGACAGCTCGATAAGGTCTGGGCTTGTCTGGGGCCAACAGAGAGCAATGATTCAGTTGGATGTCGTGCAGGGGTGTGTTGTGGTCTGCTTCTGGGAACTGGATTTTGGAAAGGGGGTTATCTGCAGCTGATAAGGGCCACATTTAAAAGGCTGAGTTAGGGATGAGGCTACATTACTTCACACTGCCAACTAGAGGGAGCAGCAACAAAGAGTCCACAGAGGATTTAACAAATCATGCTACTGCTCCTGGTCTCTGTATCCATTGCCAATATGCTTTTTTCTGCTGGAGTTGTTTGCATGCCACTACCAAACCAGGGGCCCCACATAGCCAATGGCTGGGGCCAGGTCATCCGGCTCAGGCATCTTTACGCTGCCAGACCAGGACTGCACTTGCTGATCAGTGGGGATGGACAGATCCACGGCTCTGTGGACCAAACACTGTACAGTAAGTCAAGCATTTTAAAACACAGACTTAAAAGGCTGCAAACTGTGCTGCTGGTTGGTAAATCACACTGATGACTGGAGATGGCATGGTGGGATTTTCATTCTGATGAACATTTGAACTGCAGGCCTGCTGGAGATCCGTCCCGTGGATCCAGGCTGTGTTGTCATCAGAGGTACAGCAACCGCACGCTATCTCTGCATGGAAGGCGACGGAAGACTGTACTCATCGGTAAGGTGACAACCTACTGTCTGCTCATTTCTACATCTGACGTGCAAATAAGTTGGAAAAGTTATTATTTATGCAAAAGTAATTCATTATTTAGTTATTATGCGTCAGGGCAGTACTTAAATGTCAAATGAGGTAAAAATAATTAAAAAAAATAAAGAGGATTAGGGCCACAAACATTTTACTCCCCAATACATTGTTATTAAAGATATAAAATAAAAATGTCTATGTTATGACCCCACCCCGCCTTCCGAAATAACCACAAATGTAATCTGTCATAATTGTTGGGAAGGTTACTATAAAAATGTAATCTGATATAATTCCTAATTACCTGTTAAAAATGTAGTCATTAACCTAATCCAAGCATCACAATGTTAAAGTAATATAACTTGGAGCACACAGTAGCTCACCTGGTAAGGTGCACACCCCATGTAGTCCTCACTGCACCAGCCTGTGTTTGATTCCAACCTGCAGCCCTTTGCTGCATGTCGTCCACCCCCTAACCTACATCAGAAATGTGTCCTCTACTCAGTGTGTTTTTAAAGAAAAAGTTGATTTTCATGAAGCTCATTCAGAATCAGAAAAAGTTGGTTTTCACATAAGAGGAATTTGCCTTGGTGTATTGGTGTGTACTAATATAAATACAGATCAAATAAAGACAATAAAGACAAATAATATATACAAATATAAAAAATAATAATAATAACCTACTTTTACTAAATGTAACTGTAATCTGATATTTAATTATTATTATTAAAACCGGTTCTAGTATTACGGTGCACTGTAGTTCTGCGTTTGGTTTGTCTAAGTGATGTTGCCATACTCAGCGGAAGCCGTTGCTCAGATGCTGTGAGTTATACAATCGCTGTCAAACACTGTACTGTCTCTATTTCATTACTTTCATACAGTCATAAAGTATTAAAAAGAAAACTACACTGTAAATCCTAACAGCATATCTTAATAAAAGAATTAAGTTAACATAACTTAATCCTCCAAAATGTTTGAGTTAATCATTCCTATGAATTAAACCCAACCCAAAAATGAATCGTTGAATAACTCTTCAGTGGACTTAAAATTTGTGCAGTATTTTAGGTATTTATAAGTATTAATATAAGTAATATAATTCCAGTTTGTTCCATTGAATACATTTCTTTAAGCTGACTTTATATCATTACAAAAATGTAAGCCCCAAAATGAATTGGTTACCATTTTGATAATTGATTAATTGGAAATTGTTTTTATCATACGTCAACTGTTTTGACAGGTAATGTAATAATATGTTTCAGTGGAAGAAAACTGAATACATTCAATTTAGTTGGTAACATTTGTATAAAGAATTGAATGCATTTAAGTTAGTCTTACTTCATTCAGATAAGTTCTGTTAACACGTTTTAATTAAGTTTGGAGAAATGCTGCATGTGAGTGTATACTTACTC